GCAAAAATTTTCCTTTTTAACTAATAAGCTATAATTAATTGGCTAAACATTTTCCTTTAGTGGCATTTTAATGTAGCTACACTTACGCACACGTTGAAGGCTAATATATTTACATTATAACTTAATTAATACATATTTTACTTAGACTGTTATAGGCTTGCAAACTATTTGCTCGGTATTTTGTTAAGCATATGTTTCTGCTAAAGTTTTTTTTACATGTTATATTAACGATAAATTGTGTTCTGTGGGCGCTTAACAAACAAACTAACGTTAACATTATAAAGTAGGCTATGTATTTGTGTAAATGTTTACTTTTACCCAAATATTAGTTTTTGTCCTTCAATTTTTATTTTTTTATTGTTTGCTTAATCGCTTTTTAAGCCATCACCAGTCTCCCTCATACACGTGTATTAAAACATTAGCATCACATTATTTTTATATAACGTTCTTACTGATTTTGTCAATTTTGATATATAAGCTCGAACATTTCTGTAAAACTAATAATGATACAAACACTTTAAAAATCAGCTTTTCGTTTTTATAAAATAAAATTTAGGTTAACGTTAATTAGGCTACTTTTAGTTCTTATTAAGAGAGAAATGAAACTCACCTCTGGATCCGCAGCCTCTTCAGGAATCGAGATCGTTAGAGAAGTTTGCGAGATTCCCGTGAAGCTCTTTTAAATCTAATCGTAAATCTAAGTTTTCAGAGCACTTTATAGGAGACTTCAGAGGGATTCCCTGGAATCTCGGAGCGACTTTCCCAGCATCCACACACGGAATTCCCCCATCGGGATACGGAGGAAAACGGGCCGGAAAAGACCCGGAATTCGGGGAGATTCCTTGTTATTCTGGTAGAAGTGTACCGTTAATTCTCAAGAAAAGATCATTAACTTTACATATACTTCTGTCTGTTAGTCTGTCGGGTGTTCTGTGATTAGAAATGAGTGAAGGAGGGAATGAATGAATGAACATGACGCTGCGCGGGTGCACGTGCGTCTGCCACACACAAGATGGCGCCCAAATCTAACCCATCTGTTCTCATCTGGCGTGTTTACTTACAGTCGACGTCAAAATTATTAGCCCTTCTGAGAAGATTGCTTGACGAAGAGATGTTTACCAAACACATATTAAACACAGGATTTTATAATAAACTTGTTTATTTGGTCATCGCCATGATAACTACTTTGCAAGTTACTGTACCAAATTTAGAGAAAGAAAATGGAGAATATGCATTATACTAAATAAATAATGAGAAATATCCCCAGCGTATTCAAATATACAAAAAAGTCAATACAGATTTGATAGAAAGATTTTCTGCATGAAGATTGTCACTAGTTTTGACATGAGAAAACTATTAAGGGTAGCTATTGATAAATCAAATTCAGTTTGATTCCATCGGTTGGATTTCGCGGGAAACAGCACAAATAGCCGCGAAAAAATTACTAAAAGTAACTATTTCAAAAAATGCTTAGTCAAATTATTCCTTAAATCTAATCAGAACTTGCTTTTAAAAAATTGCCATAGAAAATGTAAAAATAGCAAAATAGCGAGTGGGAGTAGTGTGAAAATTTGAAAAATTTAGCAACGCAATGGGCTATAAGCAGATCGAGCTAGAAGAACTAGCCTACTGTTTTTTATGTTACTGTGACGATTGGGTTTACATGTTGGCAGTAGACGTTATAAGATACAATAAATGGGAATAATATTATGAAAAACTAGCCTAGGCTGGTTGTAGCTGGTCGACCAGGCTGGTTTTAGAAGGGTTTTGGCCATTTCCAGGCTGGTTTCCAGCCATTTCCAGCTAAATCCAGTTTGACAAGCCTGGTTTAAGCTGGACATAGCTGGTTTTGGCTGGGCTCCCAGCCTGGCTAGGCTGGTCAAGCTGGTTTTAGCTGGTCATTTTCCAGCCTGACCAGCTAAGACCAGGCTGGAAATGGCTGGAAACCAGCCTGGAAATGGCCAAAACCCCTCTAAAACCAGCCAACCAGCCTGGTCGACCAGCTAAAACCAGCCAACCAGCCTAGGCTGGTTTAAGCTGTTGTTTTCAGTAGGGATATATTCATAATATATTCATATAATCTTCA